GTATCACTGGGGTGGGCCGTGGTAAGCTGAGGAGGCACACCACACCCCAAAGCAATCGCTAAAAATACAAAGCAAAGGAACAGCTAATGAACTAACAGTGGAGACAAAATTAAACACCAACAGACATTAAGTTTACACAAAAGAAAGCAGGCAAAGAGTAAAAAAGAAACAAAAACAGATGGGGAAACGAGTCAGCAGAGAGCGAGGAAACGGACAGCTACACCACAGGACCTCACACTACAGGTAAAAAGCAGTAACTGTCAGAGTGGATTTTAGAAACAGGAACACCCAACTGCATTCTCCCTACATGAAATGCACTACAAAAATAAAGACACAGCTGGTTAAAAGTAAAAGGAAGGAAAAAGATTTACCAAGCAATCACTAACCACGAGAAAGCTGGGGAGCCCACACCAGCCTCAGTCAGACAGACTTCAGAACAAGGACTCCTACAGAGACAAAGATGACCTTTCATAATGACATAAGGGTCAGTTCTCCAAGATTTAACCGTCCTCTCAGTGCACAGATGAAACTACAGGACTTCAAGATAAGCAAAGCAAACACTGAGAGAACTGAAAGGAGAAACAGACAAATCCATAATTACTGCTGAAGATTTCTATACTCCTCTCTCAGGAATTGACAGAACATGTGAAAAAGATGAGTAAGGATATAAAAGATCCAAGTAACACACCAATAACCGCCTTATTTTTTAAATGACATTGACAGAGCACTCCAGCCAACAGCAGAAAGATACTCTTCTCAAGTGCAAACAGAACTCGCCACAAAACAGACCACGCTCTGGGCCGTTAAGTCTTAATACACGGAGAAGGATGCAAGGTGCACCTAGGAAGCACAGAGTAAAAGTACACTGAGACACCAGGAAACGACTAGAATCAGAAAAACGGACAAGACTAAATGCTGCTGGGACGCAGGGCAACTGAATTCTCATGGATTTGCTGCAAATGTAAAATGTACAACCTTTATGGAAACCGCGTGGCAGTTTACCAGAAAACCCACATTTGCTGCACACCCAGCAATTCCACTCTTACACAGAAATGCAAACTCGTCCACCCAAAGAATTGTCTGCAAATGGTGACAGCGGTGTCCCTAACAGCCCAAAGCTGGAACAACCCAAATCTCCACCAACAGGAGAAAGGATAAACAAAGTGCAGTTCGGCAGGAAAGGAAGAGACTGCTGATACGTGAGTGACCACAGAGATGAGTCTCAGAAACAGGATTTGAACTGAAGAGGCCAGAGAGCAAGTGGGACAGTGGTGCCCGGGGCCAGGTCAGGAGGACTGCAAAGGGACAGGAGGCCACTTCTCGGGGGGTGAAGAGAATGCTCTGCCCTTGACAGCAGTGAGGGTGCCAACATTTATCAAAGCTTGAACTGTATACTCAAAATGGGTGCATTTTACTGTATGTAAATTATATCTTGCAGCATTACCCTTTTTAAAAATTTTAAAGGAAGAATGAAAATGTATAACCATGGATAAAAAGATCAAATACATATTTTTTTAAACTATGTAATTATTTACCTTCTTAGAAAACCCAAAAGAAATTGAACAAGTAGTGAAGTATTTCATTACACAGTGAACCTTGAAAATATTATGCTAAGTTAAAGATGCCAGTTACAAAAGACCACATGTTGTCTGAATCCACTGCACGAAATACTTAGAATACCCAAATCCATGGAGACAGACCCGTGGTTACCAGGGACTGGAAGGAGGGAAAGAGGCAATGAGCATTCTGGGCTCAGAAGCCCACAGCAGGACCCTCCCCTGGCCACCGGACACAGCAACCAGGCACATGCTCCCCAGAGAGGAAAGCCTGACCTGTAAGACAACTTTGAAACAGACCGCACCAAGGACAAGAGCTCTTAGAAAGTAAAAACGATTGTCAAAATAAACTCAAAAACATCTTCTATGTGCAAAATAAAGATCAAAAAGCAGAAGTATGAGGGAAAAGCTAAGAAAACTCAACATTCAATTCACAGGCACATCAAAAAGAGAAGGCAGAAGCAGAGAAATGATCAAAAACACACCAGAAGCAAAGTCCCCTGAGCCAAGAGATGCAAGTCTTCAGCCTGAAACTGTCCAGCTAACGCCCAGTATAAGAAAAAAAAAAAGCCTAGAGCAAGTTATACCTGCCTAAAGTATCAGGTTCTAGAAACTTTCAGAGGCAAAAAAGTCTGAGAAAGAAACGCAGACCTGGGACACGACGTTCCCAGAGTGGGGACGGCGGAACCGCGCCTTCCACTTCTGCTCAGCCAAGCTGCCAACCACGCAGAAAACACACCTGTGCTTCCCAGACAGCTGAGGGTTCACAGCACTCACCTTCTACAAAACCACTGGTTACTTGAAAAGGAAAAACCAGCACGCGCAGCACAGCCCACTTGTTAAAAGGCACCTGAGTGCGCACTGAGGCAAGCCCCCGGGCTCCAGCCGCCCAACAGGGCAGGTGGCGCTGACAGCTCGTATCACAGGTGAGGAGACTCAGGCACAGAGCGGCCAGGTGGCACAGCTAGAGTAAATCTAGACGGTCTAGCCAGGGGTCTGTGTAACCCCCACCTCACACTGCCCTTCAACATAAGTTACTATCACTACCTTCCTATTTCCCAAGTTCACTGCCAGAAGCATGTGTAAGGATCGCAAATAGAAAAGAAAAAATTACCCTGAGAAATCATTCAAAAATAAAGAAAATAAGAGCCAATTGAAACAAACAAGTAATTTCCCCATCCTACATTAAAGTTAAGGAAACCCAAGCCTCAGTGTGTTCATCTGTGAAATGGAGACGCACACAGAGACACACTCTGTAGATGCTGTGAGCATTAAACGGGGAGCCACTTGAAGCACTTGCTCTTGTAACAAAATATGCCTAGAGGCAAACAGATCAAATACACGTGATGAGCAAAAGATGTGTTCTTTCAATAGCGGCAAGGAAAAAAGTAACTCAAATACACCTGCCCGCAGCCTGGCATGACCTGGGACGCACGCCACTACCACGGGACTGCTAAAACTCATCAGCCAGGACCTGCTAACAAGTAAGCCCGGCACTGCATCCTGATCCCTTCTGCAGGCAAACACACACACATGCACATGCATACGCATGCACATGTACGCCACACTCCAAGACTTTGGGATTACCAGCAACTGAATGATCAAAGTCAAAATCCTCAACCTCTGCTCTTACCAAGGTGCGGGTCCAACAGATGAGGCTGCTCCTGGTACTTGTCCATGATTACTGAAGAGATAAACAAGGTAAGAATTAACATCACTGAGGCAAGCGTGCACGTGAGCCTCAGAAGCCCAAGTTTTCCTGTGCTGACCTCCAGGGCAGCTCCCAAGAGCAGGGGTGGGATGGAGTGAGCCCCCCACCCATCTCCTCAGGGCCAGCTGTCCCAGTCCCTCATTCTCCGGTTCTCCCTCCTTCCGTCCTCCGCCCCTCGTCCACCGCCATGCTGCACTCTCCCTTTGTTAAACACACACCTTCCACTCTCTTCACTCTCCCCCTGCCACACGCACCAGCAGTGTGCCCTCCGGACCCCTCACACCGCGACTCTTTCATCTCAGGCAGCCGGGTTTCTACTCCCATCAGATCCGCCTGCGCCCTGGGCAGTTCTTGGTGCCACACAGCTCTGCATCTCACCACCCCCAAGAATGGGAAATGGGGCTTTCACTGGGCCCTGGAATCCACCTCCCGCTCAGGACAGTCCTGTGTCCAGGGTGTTGCCACACTAACCCCAAATGACAGCCAGAGAAACAGACTGAGCGCTCTCAAGTAACTTGACCAAGTGGCAGAGGTAGGATTCAAATCCAGACAAGTTGCCAACGCACATGCTCTTTACACTCACCCGGCCGCACTGCCCCTCTGCAAGTCAGCGTTGTCATTACAAACCCCGGAAGACAACATTATGCAAAATTGCCTTTAACTAAAAGGGTCCATAAAGATGATTTTACTGAATCACAAAACCCTACGTAGCTATCTAACCACGGGATCCTAAGGAATCGTTTGGAAGTGGCCCGTTGTAGACAACCGCAAGGGTCTGCTTAACTTGGAAAATGTAAGATGCGCTACCCGGAGCGGCACGACTCCGCGGAGCCGCGCGGTCCTGGCCGAGCCACGTTGCTGTCTGCTGCTAACGGCTCGGGGTGCGGGCCCCACAACTGCAGAGCCGGCCAAACCCGGCCCGCTCCAGCCTGCTCTCGCCTCTCCTGCTCTCACCGCCCCGTGCACGCAGCTGTCTCGGAGAAGCTGCGCTTTGCTGTGGACCCAGGACGGGTGGGGAGAGCACCGGAAGGTGGGGCCGCCCAAGGCAGGTCCGCCCCACCCCACCCCACCCTCGCTGCCCCCAGTGCGGGGGTGGGCAAGGAGGCCCCTGCCCTCCGCCCCTCAG